CTGACCAACAAATGTAGGAAGGAAATATTAAGACACTGTAAGGTAAGTGAAAGTTAAAAGAATTCATTGCTAGGTGATAGACCTGCCCTACAAGAAATGATAATTTGGGCTGAAATCAAAGGGCACTAATCAGTAATTTAGAGCCATAGTTAGAGCTCAACTCCGGGAAGGGTGCTGATTTGGGTAGTTTGTGTGTTTATAAGGATTGGTGCATCACATCTAATTATTTGGTGCCCAGTTAATATTCTCACATAACCTTTTTCACTTATGCAAGGTCAGTAGTGATGTCCCCATTTTTACTTGAGTCTTCTCTCTATTTTTCTAGTCAGTCTAGGTAAAGGTTTGTCCACTCTGCCGCTCTTTTCAAAGAACCAACTTTGGTTTCATTGATTCTCTCTGTAGTAGTTCCAGTCTCTTTTTAATTAGTGCTTTGTTTCCTTCTTCTGCGAGCTTTGTGTTTAGTCCACTCTTTTTCTAGTTCCTTAAGATGTAAAGTTAGGTTATGGGTTTAAACACTTCTTCTTTTTAAATTAAGTGTTGACAGCTATTAATCTGCCTCTGCGCACCGTTTTTGCTGCCTCCTGTAAGTACTGGTTCATTGTGCTGTCACCTGCTTTCATCCCAAGGAGTTTCCTAACATCTTTTGCGATTTCTTCCTCAACCTGTTGGTTTTTTCAGTATGTGTTGTTTAATTTTGTGAATTTTCCCATTTTTCTTCTGTTATTGGTTTTCTTTTCACTGTGGTCAGAGAACTTTTTATAATTTCAATCTTTTAAAATTTACTAAGATTTGTTTTGTGGCCTAACTTATGGTTTAATCTGGAAAGTATTCCATGGGCACTTGAGAAGAACATGCGTTTCTGCTGTTCTTGAGTTGAATATTTTATGCACACATTGGGTTTAGCTGGTTTACGGCGATATTCAAGACTTCTGTTTCATCACTGCCCTTCAATCTAGTTGTTCTAATATGTCATTTTCTATTAGTGGAAATGGCTTATTGAAGTCTCCAACTATTATTGTAGAACTGACACTCTATTTCTTCAATTCTGTCGTTTTTACTTCCTACATTTTGGGAGTCTGTTATTAGGTGTATATTTTTTTATAATTGTCATATCTTCTTGATATGTTGACCCTTTTCTCAATATCTAATGTCACTTTTAGTCTCTTACAACAATATTTGACTCTGAGTCCATTTTGTCCGATTTTATTATAGCCATCCAGCTCTCTTTTGGTTATTATTTGCATGAAATATCTTTTTTTCATCCCTTCACTTTCAATCTATTTGTATCTTTGAATCTCAGGTGAGTGAACTGACCCAAGAAGAAATGGGCAAAACAAGCACTGAGATCACAGTGTAATCCAAAACCTACCCCACAAGGAAAGCCCAGGACGAGATGGCTCCATGCTGAGTTCTGCTAAACACGAAACTTTCTCGAATTCTTCCAAAAAACAGAAGATGAGAAAACACTTTCTAAATCATTCTATGAGGTCAGCATTATCCTGATATCAAAGTCAGATGAAGACAAAAGAAAAAAAGAACTACAGACCAAAATCTTTTATCGATTAAGATTTGTAAAACTGGGACGCCTGGGTGGCTCAGTTGGTTAAGCAGCTGCCTTCGGCTCAGGTCATGATCCCAGCGTCCTGGGATCGAGTCCCGCATTGGGCTCCTTGCTTGGCAGGGAGCCTGCTTCTCCCTCTGCCTGCCACTCTGTCTGCCTGTGCTTGCTCTCTCTCTCTCTCTGACAAATAAATAAACAAAATCTTAAAAAAAAAAAAAAAAGATTTGTAAAACTTCCACAAAATACAATCACACAAAATCTAGCAGGGTGTTAAGAGAATTATACACCATTACCAAGTGGGTTTATCCCAGGAATGTGGACTAATTCAGCATATGAAGACCAATCAGAGTAATGCACCACATTAATAGGATGAAGGGAGGAAACATGATCATCTCAACTGAGGCAGAAAAATCATCTGAAAAAGCCAACCTCCTCTCATACTAAAATCCTCAACAAACTATGAGAAGAGAACTTCCTTGACATAATAGAGGGTCAATGAAAAATCCACAAGAAACATCAGCCTCCATGGTGAAAGACTGAAAGCCTTCCCCCAGGCCAGGAATAGGCAAGAATGCTCACTTCCACCACTTTCCATGCAATATTGTGCTGGAAGTGCCAGCCAGAGCAATTTGGCAAGAAAAACAAATAAAAGACCTCCAAATTAAGAAGAAGACATAGAACTTACTACAAAGCTATAGTGGGGGCGCCTGGGTGGCTCAGTGGTTAATGCCTCTGCTTTCAGCTCAGGTCATGATCTCAGGGTCCTAGGATCGAGCCTCACGTCGGGCTCTCTGCTCAGCAGGGAGCCTGCCTCCTCCTCTCTCTCTGCCTGCCTCTCTGCCTACTTGTGATCTGTCTGTCAAATAAATAAAAAATCTTAAAAAAAAAAAAGCTATAGTGATCAAAACAGTGGTCCTGGCATAATGATAGACATGTAGGTCAGTGGAATAAAATTGGAAGTAGAAAAAACCCATACATATCTGGTCAAGTGATTTTCAACTAGGGTATCAAGTTCATTTTGTGGGGAAAGTATAGTCTCTTCAACAAATGGTGCTGGGACAACTGGACATCCATGTTCAAAAGAATATAGTCAAACCCTACCTCACACCATATACAAAAGTTAACTCAAACACCAATCAAAGACCTAAATATAAGTGCTAAAACTATAAAACTTTTGGAAGGAAACATAAGGGTAAACCTGCATGACCTTAGATTTGGGAACAATTCTCTTGGTTATGACACCCAACAAAAGAAAACAGATAAGTTGGACTTCATCAAAAGTTAAAGTTTTGTGCACTGAAGGATGTTATCAAGAGACTGAAAGGCAACCCACAGAGTGAGAGAAAATATTTGCAGAGCATAATTCTGATAAGGGTTTAGTATCCAGAATATATAAAGAACTCCTATAATTCAATAATAAAACTACAGATAATGCAATTAAAAATGGGCAAAGCACTTTGATAGACATTTCTCTAAAGAAAATATTCAAATAGCCAATAAGCACTTGAAAGGAACTCCAATATCATCAGTCATCAGGGGAATGTAAATCAAAACCACAATAAGATGCCACATCATACCCACAAGGGTGGCCACAATTTTTTAAAAAAAATAAAAGAACAGAAGCAGTGCTGGGGAGCATGTGGAGAAAATTCTGGAAATGTAAAATGCTGCAGGTGCTGTGGAAAGCAGTCTGGCAGTTCCTCAAAAGTTACACATAGAATTGCCACCTGACCCAGCCATGCCACTGCTGGGTATACACCTGGAAGAACTGAAAAGAGGCATTGAAACAAAAACTTGTACACAAATGTCCATAGCAGCATGATTTGCAGCAGCCAAAAGGCGGAAAAACCCAAATGTCCGCTGACTGAGGAACGGAGAAATAAAATGTGGTGAACCCATTTGCTGGAATATTACTCAGCCAGGAACAGGAGTGACACACAAGCACGCGCTACAACATGGACGAGCCTGGAAAACATCACGCTCAGTGACTGGAGTCAGACATAAGAGGCCATGAACTGTGTGATTCCTTACACGTGAAAGGTGTGAAATAGGCAAGTCCATAGGGACAGAAAGCAGATTAGTGACTGACGGGGACTGCAGAGGGACTCCTTCATAGTTCAGGATTTCCTTCTGGAGGGATGAGAAGGCTCTGGATCTAGCTGGTGATCACGGTTGCACAACATTGTGGCTTTGCTAGACGTCACTGACTTGTACACTTTAAAATGGATGGAATTATACATTTTATATGTTATGGGCTCAATCTGTAAAAATCATGCCTGCTGGGGGTTTCCAGGAGTGAGGCCCCCACACTGAGCAGCACTGGAAACTATTAACATGGTAAATTTTGGTTGATCTCACAGGTGAGATATTTATGTTTTAATTTGAGAACAGTTGGTCATTAATGAGCTCAAGTAGCTTTCCATGTGTTTATGGGAATTCTGAATGTTTTGAATTTTATATTTGATTCTTTTGTACCCTCTCCTGCTTTAGTTGTGGGGACTTTCATATTTTCATATTAACCTTTCACCCATCACACATATTGCCAATATTTTCTGGTAGTTCAATATTCTCAATTTGTATTCCAAAAAGATTCCCTTTTGGTTTTGAAATAAAACGATGATGGATTGTCCCTACATCACCCTCCCTCCATGCCCACCTCCTCCAGATTAAATCTCAGCCCACCCTCAGGCCCCCATCAGGGACCTGCCTCTGCCAGGACCACTGACCATAGGCTCCAAGGAAGGAGCATTAGGACCCAAAGGTCAGTCCTTGAATCCAGTCCTCATAATGACCTAGGGAGTGAGGCCTCACTGGGACTCACAGAATGTCACTGGGACATTCTGGCTTCTTCTTGGGGAGGGGACATCCAGTCCTCTTGGTGGGCATCCTCCTCCTTGTCACTGACATTGGCTGACACCGGGACCACAGAAGTTCACTAGCCCGTCCAGGAAGAATCAGGCCCACATTGCCTGTGCCCTAAAATATGCACTTCTGTCCTCTTTCCTCCCAATCACAGGCCAGACCAGCTGTTCCAAGTGAGGTCCTGCACACCCAGGCGGGGTACACACGGAGCAGTCCCATGAGCCCATGGCCGTCACCCAGAGCCCCAGCACATGAACTGCCAGGTGGAAGCCACAGAGGTAGCCACAGGGAGCCCACAGCTTCCTGACAAGTGTCCGGGGAAACCAGGCTCACACCACGGACAACCAGCCCTGCCTGGAACTGTCCAAGGTTTACAAGCTGAGCAAGATCATGTCATGACAACAGAACAGGCGCTAATAATGGTCCTCACAACCCAAAACACCAACAAGCAAGGGAGGCGTGGTGAGCCTTCACCTGGACAACGTAAACATCCGGGAGGGTATAAAATCCGCCAGCCCAACACCTCACACTCACACACACTCACACTCACACCCTCCTCCAGCCCCACCGCACCACCATGGCCACATCCACTCTGTCCGTCTGCTCCAGCGACCTGAGCTACGGCAGCCGCGTCTGCCTGCCCGGCTCCTGTGACTCCTGCCCCGACTCCTCCTGGCAGGTGGACGACTGCCCAGAGAGCTGCTGCGAGCCCCCCTGCTGTGCCCCCCCCTGCTGTGCCCCCCCCTGCTGTGCCCCCACATGCTGTGCCCCAGGCTCCTGCCTGACCCTCATCTGCACCCCTGCGAGCTGCGGGTCCAGCCCCTGCCAGTCAGCCTGTACCAGCTCCTGCCAGCCCTCCGGCTGCAGCTCCTCCCCCTGCCAGAAAGACAGACAGACTGTGTCTGTCTGCTGCAAGCCCGTCTGCTGCACCCCTGTCTGCTGCAAGCCCGTCTGCTGCACCCCTGTGTGCTGCCAGGCCTCCCCTTGCTCAGCCTCCTCATGCTGCCAGCAGTCTAACTGCCAGCCCTCCGGCTGCAGCTCCTCCCCCTGCCAGGAAGACAGACAGACT